AAGCTGGAGAATTGTGAAAAAGAGCTCTTTCACCCGTAGTCAAGGATATACTATCCCCAGGAATTTCTGGGTGCCTCCCAAATTAACCTTCTGGTATCTCTGGGAGGTAGGGGGCCTGAATGTTGGCCCTAGGCAAAGCTCTTCCCCACTCTGGGGCAAATGAAAGAAGATAAGAGATAAGCCCCAAGTTTCATTTGAGCTGACATCAAAAGGGCCCGTGGTAGGCCTGCCTCACCCTGTGCCCGAGGTGTCTCACTGTCTCTATCTTCCTTTCTAGTCCTCTCCCCTCCCATACCTGCTGCTGGATGTGAATCTGGGCCAAGTGCTGCAGGCGGGCGGCATGCTCAGGAACGGCTGTAAAACAACGCACAAGGCGATGATGCTGTGCCCTCCCCCGGGACTGCTCAATAGTCTATTAGGTCTCCGGCAGGATTAGAGTATTGAGTGGAGAGGCTAAACAAACGCCAGGCTTCATCGACCACTGCAGCTGGAGGTGGTGGCAGGGCTCCCTGCCTGCCCCAGTCTTACTCCAGGACCCACAGGAGAGGGGGGGATACGGGTCTCAAAGAGAAAACAAGACCTTGGGGTCCCCAGTGTTGCTCCTACCCCCACCCCATAACCAGGCCAGGTAAAAGAGAGCTCTACCTATCATAGGACCTGTCTCTGCTCTCAGCCCAACAAAGCCAGGTATGCAGGTCTGAAGAACAGAAAGCCTTCAGATAGGCTGAGGATGAATGCCAGGTCCCTAAGCTGGCCACCAGGAATCCAACACCCAGAGCCTTGGCCACCATGCTGGGCTCATAGCTTAAGGCTGTCAGATACTCAGCAGGTAGCTGATCGGGGCAGGGAGGGGGAGCTGGGAAAAATACGTCTAGAGACAGACAAGATGGATATCTGGATTCAATTAAAGTCACTGTCTGCTTGTCAAAGCCCAGGCCTAGGGACTTCTCTCAGCAGTGCAGCAGGAAGAATTCACATATATTCATGCACCTGGCAAGGACCCTGACAGTAAAATCTGGATTCTGCAGCACCCTGAAGGAGAGATGTTGAGGGGTCAGATAGAAGGCAGAGGGAATCCCCTGAGAGTTGAGTGCTGCTAGAGCTTACACTAGTGTCCTTAGGCCAAAACTGAGGTCCTGAAATTGGGCTTCTTGCCCTGGTAAAATTTTTTAGTTTGTTTATTTCTTCCATGAACGAGAGACAGACACTGAGTGACAGCACCCCCAACAGGGTCTTGACACAACCCCCTGCTTCATCGAGCCCCAGATTATGGGTATGTGTGCACCCACCATACTGGAGGAAGTCCCCAGATACAAACCCAGAATCTTCCCATGTGGGTCAGCCTTGCAGAGCACCACATTTTACCACTGTGCCAAAACCATCCCGCCCCATGCCCTGGCCATTTAAAACTTAGTGGAGGTGTCAGGTACCCAGGATAAAGATAAAGATAAGGAATAGACCCAGTCTGGGCCCAGGAGACCTGAGGCACAGCAAAATCTTGCCTATCTATCCATTTCCCAGAGTAGTGGAGCCACAGCCCCAGAGAGGTACCTTTGATATGAGCACTGTCCAGCATGGGCACCAAGCCTTCCACCTGCTCCAGGAGCGCAACCTGGGAGAGGATAAACTGCTCCTCTGAAACACAAGACTGGCAATGAAGCAAAGCCTGGGCATTTCCTACCCCATGCAAGGGCCTGAGGACTGGTAGGGCAGATGCTCCAGGACTGGAGCTCTAGACAGTGACTGCCCACTGACTCTTCTAGGTGAACAATCCCAATCTTGCCCCTACCTCTCCTAGAAGGCTCTGGTCTGACCCATCCTAAGCCCAATTTCTCCAAATTCCACCTTTCTCCAAGTTTTAACTCCAAGGTCCCTTTTAGCCTCCTATCAACAAACTCAGTGAATGTGTGCCAGGCCATAGGAGACAAAATCCTTTAGACATGGGTCCCCACAAGCCTGGAGCCCTTGAGAAGGCCTATCAAGGGAGATAAGTGGCAGATTATGCCAGGCAGGTTCTGCTCAGTGGCTCTCAGAGATACAGATAATTACAGGCTGCAGGAAAGCTGGGAAAGTAAAGGGAGAGTCCTATGAGGGCAGCAGATCTGGTATAGGCCATGTATGCAAAGGGTATTTCAAGGCACTGAAAACCATAGAGTAGGAAGAGCATTCAACAGGGAAAACTGGGGACCACAGTTAGTGTAATGGCTATGTCACTGGACTCCCATGTCCATGAACCCGATGGCTTAAACTCACGCCGGGCGCGTGTGCGTGCACTCCCAAGAGGAGAATGGAGAAGGGATTTTGGCGTAGCCATCCCCCCTGGCGGCGGTTTCTCGCTTTCTGTCTCTGTCTTTCTGGCGAGCGCAAGTGCCCTATAGCAAAAATCTCTCAAAGAAAAAAAAAAAGAGAGAAAACTGTTATGTGCAAATGCCTTGAGGCTGGAATTCCAGTCAATTGGCAGAGGAAAAATAATTCAGTTGGCTGAACTGGACCAGGGACACTATAAGAAACAGAATTGGATGGGAGAGTAAGTCCAGCAGACTGGAACACTTTGAATGACAGGCTTAGGAATTAGGACTTCATACTAGTAAGGAGAGGGAACACTAAGGTTCCAAAATAGACAAAGTGACACACTGAAAATATGTTTTGTGAAGATGAGACTGGGCCATGTTTAGGAAGGGAAATACTAGGGTCAAAATGATCTAAGAGATTGTGTAACTGGGCCAGCTCTGTGACCTGGTGGCCCACTCCATGATTCAAAATCTGGCCCAGTGGCTTGAAAAACATGCTGGGGGATCAGCAGTTAGCGTAATGGCTATATCGCTGGACTCCCACGTAGTAGACCGCGGTTTGAGTCCCAGACCCGGTGGCTTAAACTCACGCCAGGTGCATGTGTGTGTGTGCCCAGGATCCCGAGAGGAGAATGGAGAAGGGACTGCAGCGTGGCCATCCCCCCGGGGGGTGATTTCTCGCTTTCTATCTCTCTGTCTCTCTTTGTCTGTCTGGCGAGTGCACGCACCCTATAGCGAAAACCTCTCCAAAAAAAGAAAAAGAAAAACATGCTGGATATGTGCATGTGTGTGTTCAGGATCCCAACAGGATGGAGAAATGGAGAAGGGACTGTGGAGTGACCATGCCCCATTGTGGGTATTGCTTTCTGCCTCTCCCTCTTTCTGTGCATTAAAAAAAAAAAGAGACTGTGCAAGTGTTCATGTGCAGTGAATGCATACTCCCTCAGGCAAGGGCCACAGGGAGGGACAGAGAGGCTGGACTCAAGCCCCAGTGCAAGGGAAGATCTGAACGTGGTGTCTCAGCCATGACAATTGATCAGGAGCCCTTGGGTAGCCCAGGAGCTGACCATCCTCACCCTGTCCTCAGTGTTCCATTATACTGATCAATCTCCTGGGAGACTGATCTCCCAAATGGGTCACAAGTTCAGGTCCCTGAAGCACTGACTTTGTCTCCTCTAGCTCTGTTATTTCCCTTGAGAGCAGGAACATTCTGGTTCATTGTTGTATACCTCACTTAGGACAGAGCCTGGATTACAGCAAATGATCACTGAACATCTTTTGGATGATTGAACAAACCCAGGTGCTAGCTTGTAGGGTGGCTGACTGACATTGGAGAATGTGCACCTGACTAGCAGACATTGCCAAGGCAGCAGTTCCTAGATGGTAATGCTGTCGGCCCCCACCCATTCCTAGAAGCTCTGCTGTCTAGTGAGTAGAAATGAGGACAGTTCTGAAGGGATAAGCCATTGATAGAACACTAGAGTAGTTCCCACCATGATTGGCACCATGACATGCAGCAGGCCCAAAGGTATACTACTCCCAGTGCCTGCCAGAGGATCCACAGAACCACCTGAGGCCTCAGCCCAGAGTCAGGCCAGAATTGCAGAGAGCAGCTTTCAAGGGCTGTACTCATATAGGGGGACTAACTGTTCTCAATCTCTTCCACAGCCCATATCCTCAGATGCATGTGCATACAGTCCACCATTACCTGCTAAGATGAATTGCAACTTAGAGGCATCAGGTATGGCAATGCGGTCGATGTACTCGGGATCCAGATATTTGATCAGGTCTTCAACTAGAAAAATAACAAGATGGAAAATGGAATTAATAAAGTTAGAAAATATAGCTGTCTTGTGAAGAATGTTTGGGGAATGGTCAGTCCTGGGAAGAGATCTGAATGAGGAGTTGACACCCACAAAGCCCCATCAATAGGCCCCCACTGGGATCCCTATCACTATCTCTTTACTCTCATCACTTGCTGGCTGACCTCAAGCTTTGAGCTGGAAACATAATTGCCACTATCACCCCAGTGTCCTCAGCATTTGCATTAACCTATCCTCGCCAAAGGTAGAAGACCCCTTTCTTCTTCAGTGCCACCAGAACATGACGCTCTGCAAAGCAAAATCCCATGGGAATGTTCCCAGTTCAACTCCAAAGATATCCTTGAGAACACTAGGCATGTGTATGTCCATGGTCTAAGGCAAGCCAGAGCTTTGTCTGATTTCTGGTTACTCAGGAGGTTACTAACCAGACATACCAAAAAGGCTTGGCTGAATCAAGACTGGGATTCTCGGTGTCTAATTTCTTTGTTGCCTGTTAACCTTTCCAGGGAAATCTCACACCCTTTTACCCTCTTTTACCAAGGGGAGCTTTCAGGGAGAACTTTTCATCCTATAATGTACAACACTCATGAACTTAGGCTTTATCCACAAAGTAGAAAAGCATATCCCAGCACAGAAATGTCTTCACATTCTTTCTATCCCCAGAAGACTATTCCTGTGATCTACTGGGCTGAAGGGCCACAGTCAGGTCCCAGGAAACACAGGCATGGGAAGTCAGACAGGGAGGCACACCACTCACTCTTTTTGTACAGAATCTTCACCCTCTCCCTCTTGCTGGCAATGTTGCCCAAAGCCACTTGCACTTTGACCAGGCCATCAGCCACCTGTAAGGGGAGTGGAGGTTAATTCTTTTTTTTTTTTTTTTAATTCACTTTACACCATCACAACACACAAATGAATTTTCCATCCACATACATGTTCTCAGCAAATAATTTTCCAATTCTTACATCCTGCATACCTTGCCCTTTGTCTTGCCATCCCTGATTCCCCATCCCCCACCCTCTGCTATGTCCCATCTTCCTCCTCCATTGTCCCTGGCATCCATGGTTGC